GGAACGTGGAAGTGCCTATTGACTAGTCGAGTAGTTGATGGAAATTCTATTGACGACTCAATTAGCAAATTAATTGCTACTTAACATCCCAGACTCCTACAAAGACTGCTCCATCACCTTTAGTTATTGCTTCTCCTGAGCTGAGAATTGGATATATAGACAGAGTAGTGTTAGCATTCCAAAGATCTAGACAGATGAAACAGAACTTCACGAGATTTTTTTTTAGAAATTTCTGTTTTATACCATCTCCAAAATTGCAATAGATGAAAATATCTTAGCAACCATCTCTTATGGTCAGTTTCACTTCTTTCAAAATTGAGACTGTTTTGGTGAGTATGAGCTATTAGTGTCTTAAGTTGTGATGTAGTAAGGCACAGATGAGACAGTAGATAAATACCATAAGAAAATAGTATTATTCAGCTTTTTTAAATGTAAGCCTCACAATTTTAGCAAGTCTTGTAATGAAATGGAACAATTCTTCACATAAGCTTATTAGATTTCTAAATGTATTCTGTAAGCTCAGTATAAAACTAGTTGCATAATGCTTCAAGCAAAAAGTCCTGATAATAGCAGAAGCAATCTGAAGATAATCAGATGGGGCCTGGTGTACAAATGAATTCCACTGGCAGACACTTCAATAATGAATACATTTTATTAGGAGATTTAAGGCTGCTTGAAACCCTTTCAATAACTTTGGAAAAAAATGGACTGCATTATTAGGGATATAAGCGACTAGGCTTGTTGGGTAATAGAATCACCATCTCCGCGGAGGGATACGAGAGGCAGTGGGGGAAATGGCATGAGTGGGGACCGAAGCAGTCCCCACTTGTGCAGGGTCCCGACTGCTGCACCTCTGTCTTTGAAATGTACCAGAGCCAACAACGGCTCTGGTACATTTCAAAGGAAGAGGTGCAGCAGGATAGCCAGTGCCCCCTTTATCGACTAATCAAGTACTCAATGAAAATTCCATCAACAACTCGATTAGCTGATTAATCGAAATTTAACATCCATATTCAGTATCTTGCGAAAATAAATATCAATCAACTCAGTAGTATAATGTAAACATAGAATGCTTTTAACATAACTTCTATTTGAATGGAAGAATATTATCATTGAGATATGTAGGACTAAATACATAAACAGCAAAAAAAAAAAGTATTGGTTGCCCTGTCATCCTTTTGTGGCCAGTTTTCACAACATATAAACAGGTACCATCTTGAATCATCATCTGATAGGCTCAGTGTGACTCCATACTATAGTCTTTCTATTTCCCACTTGGCTATTCCTCTATCTGATGTGGTTCACCTTGCTGGACTGAGAAGGCATCAGCAGACTTTCAGTATCCTGGATATGATACTTTTACACAGCTTTTTGCTCTGCTGGTGAAGAAGTGAAGACTCTCATGAAAAAGGATTTTTAATGTTTCTACACTTTTTTTTTCTCCATCTGACTGCAGTATTTTTGCCTCTACTGAGCTTATCTAAAGGTGGCTTTGTCTCAGAGCTATTCAGATTTTATTTCTGTTTTGGGAATTATAACCAACAACTTATGCCCATCTGTGCAAGAAATACTTAAACTTAAATTATGTTAAAGCATATGATTTAGTGAAAGCAGGTCCGGGGCATATTCTACTCTGTGGCAGAACCTTAAGAGCAATCCACTAACATTCATTGCCAATATTTGTATATATTAAGGTTCCAGAGTACAGCATTGAAGAGTTCAAGACTTTTTTTGCTTTTATTGGTATGCTGTTCATGGCGGAATAATGTCCTCCATTTGTATATAAATGCACTGGATCACAGGCTGTATTTTTTGGCAAGGACATTGACATGTGGTGGGGCTATTCTGTTAAGACTTTTTGAGAGTCTTCAATTAGAATTACCAATAAAATCTTGTAAATATATAATATTTGAACTGTTCAGAAAATTGCATTTCTAAACTGCATTTAGAAATACTTATTTCAGATGGTTAATTGTTTTTCCTAATATAAATCAACTTTTCTTCCCCCGGCTCCCTGTTTCCAAGCTACCTTTGCCAGGAATCAGAGCTGTGTTAGTCTGTGCATGCATAAAAAAGGGGGGTGGGGAGGAGGCATCTTAAAGACTAACAGATTTATTTGGGCATAAGCTTTTATGGGCAAAACCCCAATGCCCAAATAAATCTATTAGTCTTTAAGGTACTAAAGAACTCTTTGTTGTCTTTGCTAAGAAGTGGATTCTAAATTGTACATCTGCCTGGCAAGCATTTTGATTTAGATTTTTTTCCTCTCCGAACTTGTTCAGGATCATGTTTAACTGAAGTGTTAAAGTGGAAACAGGTTTTAAGTTTACATCAGAATGAATTAGTATGTCCTTTTTGCTTTTAAAAAAATGAGCACAAAAGTAGCTTTTGGAGAAGCAAGTTGCACTAATATTGCAGTGCGTAGAGGGCCCAATTGGGATCAAAAATACATTGTGCTGCATAACAGGTTGGTCTCTTCCCCCCAAGAACTTAATCTAAGATCTGGGGTAACAATTTGCTCACCTCAAAGTATCTGCAAAGTAGCACTTTCATGCTGTTATATTTTAAATGCTAAGTGAAAATCTCCTACACTAACTTGGCTTAAAACATTGGTTATTCATGGTATTACATTTTGTATTTGATGTATAGGCTTTAAACCCTTTCACTGGTACAACTAGGAAAATTGGCTGAAGAGAACCATGGTTGTTAGGTTTCACTGTTACTGTTAATTAACAAGAGGAATGAGTGATGATGTTCTTGCTGTATGTAAGATTTCTGATATTTTTTTTACTTTCAGATTTGAGTAATTTTAACACTTTAAAAATCTGCATTTTAGATACCTATCTTGCTCCCTGTCCAGAGGTGAAATCCTGAGATCGTCTATTGGTTGGTATAATTTTTAAAAAGTAGGAAATAAAAAAATCTTTAATTTGTTGCATGGAGAAGCTTTCTTTGTGGTAATCTGTAATATAGATGCTGTCTTGCAGTTAATTTGTTTTTGGTAAAACAACATTCTTTCTGCATCTGAACTAAGAAGATGTCTGCACTGTGGGATGAGGTAGTAGGTTGTATAGTTTTAGGGTCATACCCACAACTGGGAGATAACTATACAATCTACTGTCTTTCCTAAAGCAGCAGAAAATCAGCAGTGTCAGCTCTTTCATTTTAGAAGCTTATTTTGCAGTTCTTCAGAACTTTTCTAGTTCAAAGGCTTATGGGCAGAGGATATACATTTCTGTAACATAGAAGAGTTGGTATGCATGTCTGGATTTTGTGCAGTCCAGGAAAGTCAATTTCTTTATCATTCTGATTTTCAAGTTAGATTTTAAAAATTTTCTTTGTGGGAGAAGCGTAGGTACGGAAGGGTAGATTTCATCCTAACTGTATACTTCATGGGATAATTTAAAAACTAAAACTGTTGCATTTCTAATTAAGCAAAAATACTGGTTGTGGTAATTGGTACCATAAGATAAGACTTGTTCAAAATTGAATAGCTGTTCAACAAAGCTGTATTTCCCGGAACTAGGTCCAAGTATATATTTCTCTAGCGGAGTGAGGTAGTAGATTGTATAGTTGTGGGGTAGTTATTTTACCCTGTCAGGAGATAACTATACAATCTATTGCCTTCCCCGAGGAGTAAAACACATCTGCTGTTCCTTTGCGTACTAATTGAGTATTCTGAGTTTAAAGTTGAATAGACTTTCAAGTTTGTAAAATGTCAGGTGCTAATGTGACTTCTTATGCACACATAGCACAGTAACCAAATGCAGCATTTTTTCTGAAGGTGAGTGTTGCTCATTGTGCAAATGGTCTTTCACATGTCATCTGTTGGATCACTAATCTTGACTTAAATTGGTTAGACAAACTGTTTTGAAATTCATGGTAGCTCTGACAGCACAACTTCAGTGAGGTATTAAATAGCAGGTAGCCCAAGTGGCCAGTAAACTGATTTGGAGAAGATGACTTCAGCGGTACTATTTTGTATGAAGACTTCAGTATCTCTCCTCATTCCTCCCCCGCTTTTGTAGGGAGTACGATTGTTAGTAGTACATTGCACCTTTCTAAATGGAAGGGTAATCTGTACAGGAAGCATAGGATGACTGATCCCCTGGATGCCTGTTTTAACCTTCATGAGCCCCAGAGTGTAGAAGGTTTTCACACTAAAAAAAATGGTAACCAGCTCAGATTTACTAAGGCAGAGTCAAACTTGTTCCACTACCAAAAATTTATAAATCCCAGCTAATTTAGTTGCATGGGGGAAAGGAGTTACTTAGAAAGTGATAATTTTAGGAGCTATTCTGACTGAACAAAAGTGGTAGTGAGCTTAGTTGAAAGCGAAGTAGAATATCAGTCAAGGGTTTTTAGTCTGATCTACCATTCCTAGTATAAATGAATGTAAAATGTCACAGTATTTGCATGTCTGAAAGTTTAAAAGAAACTGCAATAAAAAATAACCGATTTTACAGTGCGGCTGCTAAATTGAAGAACTGCAGAAGATACAGAGGGCTCCTAGGAAGAGGTAGTAGGTTGCATAGTTTTAGGGCAGGGATTTTGCTCACAAGGAGTTAACTATACAACCTGCTGCCTTTCTTAGGGCTTTATTATTACAACAGGACCATTTTGGCTCAGTCTAAGCTTCTGCAGCTTTGATATGTGAAGAAAAAGCAATCCAAATCAATATTTGATCAACTAAGTTTCAAACTAAGCATGGCAGCAACAGATTTCTTCTCTCAACTCATTTACTGTATTAATCACAAGGTTGCAGCCAGAATAGTGCTGCTTTTGAGGGCAAACAGAGAACACGCCATTAGCTCTCTTGGTAAAAGTGAGTGGTAATAAGGTAAAGTGTCATCCTAATTTTGAAAGGAAGGTTAAGACCTTCCAGTACTGAATGAGTTAAAATATTCAAGTGACTTTTAATAATAGCAGAAGTGTGGGATATCTCTTCTCAAAGTGCTCAATACTTAGTCTTTTTCTACAGCAATAAACATCTACAATGATTGAGTTCTAAAGTTTTATTTTTTATTCATCGTGGATATGTGGGGTATTAAAGGGAGGATTGAAACAGCTTAAAAATAATTAATGCTGACAATCACAGGAAGTATAGTGGTCCTTTCCTGTAGATATGATGGTACAAACTGTTCCATGATTTTAAACTACATCTATAAATCTACATTGCACAGCATACTGTAACTTTTGCAGAACTGCACGCAGGTCTACATCTTGCATGTGTGGAAAAGATGTCCCCTGCTATGTTATTTAAAGGCAGTCAGTGCTTATATTTTATAAACATCTTTTAAAAATATAGTAGTATGCTACTGGATAAAATATCATGCCAGAAGAGTTGCACTGAACCATACTGTATTGACAGAACTAGGTACAAGGATTGTTTCATTCCTGTATTTTTTTAAATTTCAGCATGTATTGTGTATATTCCATGTGACTAATGTATTTTTATTTGCAGATCCAATAAATTTTAAACTGTTGTATGACTCTTTATTGAGGATAAGAGCAACTTAACTTACATAATAGAAAGCCGAGGGTTACTTAAAGCATTCTAAAAGCAATATTAATAGTGGTGGCCTTACTGAAATTAAGTGTATTTTAAAGGAATATTTTTATTAGATGAGCTAAAATACAGGTTAGGACCTCTAGTAAACCGCATATATCCTGCTGTTTATCATTACTTTAAAAGTTTTATGATGACAGAGTGCTGTATGCTTAATTGCGTAAAGCTTTGCAAAGGAACACACAAAATGTAGCTAAAATGATGGATCATTAAATGTTTCTGTATTCACAAGTTAAAGGAATATGCTCTTAAAATACTTTTTCCATCACTTTCCGCCACCACACCTACAATGCTGATATTGTCACATGCCACTTCTGTAAAGCCCCTGTGTGGAAAAAATTTGAGAGAGAACAAGTTAAACAGAAGGTCTTAATAGGCAGCTAGTTGTAGTTGTCACCTTTAAATTAGGACTATACAATTTAAAGTGTAGACATATCCATTAAGTCCATGTTTTACTCTTGGGGCAGAAATACCTGTCACAGCCTAGACAGCCATCCTAAACTTTCAGTGTGGGGGTGGAGGAGAGCCTGCCTCTTGCGATATTTGTGCCTGCAGTTTAAATTCTACTGCCCTGCAGCTTCTCAATTGAACATAACGACACAAACAGCATTTGCAGAGGCCTAACCCACTGAAAAATAGTGATGACTTTCTGACTTTAAAACAGAACTTGATTTTGTAGCAGGGGTGGGGAATCTTTTTTGGGTTGAGGGCCACTGATCCACAGAAAAATCAGTCATTGAGAGGCCCTAAGCAAGAAGCAGGAAAACTCCGTGGTGTACTCCCTAACTGAAAAGGAGAGATGCTCTCCATTACCCTTACATACGGGTGCTTAGGAGGGACTAGCCTAGTAGATTGTGTGTGCTTGGAGCAGGGAGTGGAGCATCAGCTTCCCCAGGCTGGCATATGCCCTCAACCTCTGGACTTGAGGTTCCCCACCTCTATAGAAATAAATACCATGCAAAATACAAGAACCACATGATCATTAGAAAATATTTTACATACAAAAAGCAGCTTAATATCTTCCACATTTCTGAAAAAATTACTAGTTTGATTTTTTTTCCCTTTAGAGGAGACTGCAGTAGTGACAATTCCCCTGTCTATTGCCAATATCTCAGTTTTCAGAATATTGAATTATTCACATGTTTAAGTGAAAACAAGTTAATCATATAAATAAAGTTGCTAACTTGGTCCAGTTACCAAGTGAGTTGTCTTACCTTGACCATCTGTGGGATCCCCCTAGTAAGTGATAGCGACCTGTCAGCGAAGAGATTTTGTTTACTTTTTTCCAGGTGTACACACGTAGTGAGAGATCCATAGATGATGTGACAACACGAAAAGAATCCTTCCAATTAAACAAAAAACCTTGGAGTTAGAGTAGAAATAAACAATGCAAAAAATATTAGTGCTAAACATTTGAGAGACATACCACCCATATAGAAGTGATTGTATTCTTGTGGTCCTGGAAAACTTCTAATTGAGTCCCGAAGATAGAATAGAGTTTCAATTCTGATCCACATCCTAGAAGAATTGTTTCTGTTCCATGCCCTTCCATGAGAATTGCTGTGGTCCGGGTTCCTCCTGGTAATGTGAAACTTGCAATCTGTTGAGCTTTAATAAAGAAAATACAATACTTGTAAACACTCATACTTCAAAGACTCTTCCAACTCTAAAACCACTTCTACTAAAATCTGCAGTATAGGAAGAGTTTAAGACTTTTTCTCTGGTGCCTGGTTACTGTGAGCGTGACATCACTCTTCTTTTCCATAATTTACACTATTTGTCGGTCAATATCCTGCCACCCCTCCCAACAAGATCTTATGATGGCTCTCTTCCCCCTTTAGGATAGTGCTACATTCCTGTTTGACTGAGAGCCTTGTTTTTACATGAGCTGCAGGCTGTGTGTTCTCCATAAGGCTCCCTTGACTTTGGACATGGCCTTTTGCCCATCCAGGACCATGTGCATATTTTAAATTATTTAGCCTCTTACCCTTTTTGCATTTTGAGTAAGGACTACAGGAGTTCTAAGTAACTGCTTGCGAATTGGGGGGGAACCTGCCACTATACCCCAATGACCAGCTGGCTCTGTTGCAGCAGTGGTAGTGATCATTTCCAGAGTTGAGTATTCCTATATACTTACATGTCTATGTGCCCTAGCTGAACTGGACTGCTGGAGAGTAGAAGGGGAAATACATGGCTTCAGAAAGGACACAAGCTATGAACAGCTTTGCGGATTAATATCAAACCCCTCAAACTGCAACCAGAAGCCAACAGGAAGCTAGCAGTTCCTGAAGCACAACTGCGGCAAAAGCAAATTTTTTTCCTTTCTCCTATAATAAGTGATGTATTTTAATCCATATTTTTTAAAAAAATATTTGGGATAGAAAATTCCAGCTCCAAGATAAAATGTTTTGGAAAGAGTTTTGTATCCTGAACTATATAATAAACTGCTATGATTACTATAAAAAAGTGCAAGTCAAATAAAAAAAAAATCTTTTCTATGCAGTGTTAAAGGGAATAGTAATCAAAACATACCTAGAACTTCCGTTTTATATTTTGACTTCTTGACTGCTAGATCAAACACTGTGATGTTCATTTCAACTGACATGCCATCTTTGTGCATTACTGCTATTCTTGCTGGTGCTTTTGGTAAGCAGCAGACTACAGCACAGTTGTTGACAGGCAAAGAACAAGATATGGGTGGTTCATCTGTTGGATTAATCAAGTAGGGAAAACAAAAAAAATACAATATTCAGATTACAGTGCCACCTATGGAAACAGTAGAAAAAATTCTCCACAATTAAAGTTAAGAAAAACTTTTGAAAGTCAGTTATTAAAGTTTGCCTTTGAATGCTTTATTGAAAGTCATCACAGTCTTACTGAAAAGTGAGGGTTTGATGCTTGTGAAAGTCTGGGATAAGACTTCGTATAGCTGAGCCACAGACTGAGCAGGATTGCTTACGCAGTTCTGCCAGCATATCTGAATATAAAATGGCAGCATTCTCTGCTATTCCAGTCAACTTTCCTTTTATCTTATGCTAAAATATGTAGAAGGGGTGTATGGTGTTTTAACTAGAATGATGCCAACAGAGCACTGCTGAAAATGATACTTTTTGCATGAAGAAAGATCCCAAATTACTTGTGGCTTGGTTGATTATTCTGAGGTATTTCTAATAAACTTTCAGAATCCATTGTAAAATGAATCTAACCTGTCAAGGGCGGTTAAAAATTTGTTGCTGTGCATGTTATTCAATATATAGGAGAATATCTCAAAGCACATATGAAACTAGGGTGAATTCACAAACTCCTAGAATATTAGAACTGGAAGGGACCTTGAGAGGTTATCAAGTCCAGTCCTCTACCCTCACAACAGCACTAAGCACTGTCTCAGTCATCCCTGACAGATTTCTATCCAACCTGCTCAAGGATTCTACAACCTCCCTAGGCAATTTATTCCAGTGCTTAACCACCCTGACATTTAGGAAAATTTTCTGTGTCCAACCTGAACCTCCCAGGCTGCAGATTAAACCCATAGCCTCTGATGACAGGATAAGAAGCAAAGGAGAACAATTTTCCCCTCTCCTCCCTGACACACCTTTTAGATACCTGAAAACTGCTATCATGTCCCTTCTCAGTCTTTTTTTTCCTAACCAAACAAGCCCAATTCCTTCAGCCTTCCCTTATAGCTAGTTTTCTAGACTGTTAATCCATTTTTGTTGCTCTTCTCTTGACCTCCAATTTTTCCACATCTTTCTTGAAATGTGGTGCCTAGAACTGGACTCAAGCTGAGGCCTAATCAGCACAGAGTAGAGCGGAAGGATGACTACTTCTGTCTTGCTCACAACATTCTTGTTAATGTATCCCAGAACCAGGTTTGCTTTTTTTTGCAAGTGTCACACTGTTGACTCATATTTAGCTTGTGGTCCACTATCACCCCTAGATCGCTTTCTGCAATACTCCTTCCTAGACAGTCGCTTCCCATTCTGTATGTGTGAAAAGGATTGTTCCTTCCTAAGTGGAATACTTTGCATTTGTCCTTATTAAACTTCATCCTATTTACCTAAGACCATTTCTCCAGTTTGTCCAGGTCATTTTGAATTATGACCCTATCCTCCAAAGTACTTAAGGATGTTAACTAACTAGTAATTTACTAGTCGAGTAGTTGATGGAATTTCCATCGACTACTCAACTAGTCAATAGCCCAATGGGGGCTCTACATTTCAAAGGAGGAATGTGGAACTTTGCCTGCAGCCTGTAACTAGTAATTTACTAGTCGAGTAGTTGATGGAATTTCCATCGACTACTCAACTAGTCAATAGCCCAATGGGGGCTCTACATTTCAAAGGAGGAATGTGGAACTTTGCCTGCAGCCTGGGGCTAGCAGGAAGTCCTGCTGACTCCGGGCTCCATGTGGGTGCTTACCCTTTGAAATGGGTAAGCCCTGGGGGGCTCTTGTGCTTTTCAAAGGGTAAGCATCCACATGGAGCCCGGAGTCAGCAGGACCTCCCGCTGGCCCCAGGCTGCATGCAGCGTGCCAGCTTTGAAATATACAAGAGTCCCCAGCGGGGGTTCTTGTGAATTTCAAAGCAGAAGCGCCCTCATGGAGTCTGGGGTCAGCAGGGGACTATTTTTGGGAAAATTCATCCTGAACTAGGACAAGAATGTCAAAACCTCAATTTTTCACAGAACAGTAATCCCACAATGAAATACAGAACTTAGAGGTTCCAAAATTAAATGTGCTCCTTAGAATCCTTCTGGTAAGCTGCAGTGAGGATGAGAACACTGCTACCCCGGCAACCGCTACTAAAAGTACTATGATTGTATCGCTGCTGTCCACCATTAAATAGCCATGTGAGATTGACCAGACTCTGGTCAAGTTTAACACCTTGTCAGTTTCACTGCTGCTATTCAGTGCTGGGCAGCAGTGAAACTGAAAGGAATTGTCTGCCAGGGCCCCTGGCTCCATTGCAACCACCCTGGCAGCCCTTGGCCCTCTGTAGCCTAACTAGCAAACTGATGGGAGTGTTGATTCACAAACTCCTGTGTCAGCTCGACCTCTCAGAAGTTCAGCAATGGAGGGAAGCAACCGTCCTGGAAGATACAGGGTTCAGAATTCAGGGAAGTCTACATAACATGAGCTGCCATGAACTCTGAAAGCCTGGGCATCCTAGCGCAACCTACCAGGCAGGTGTCCAAAATAAATGTATCACAACCTTTCTGACAGATTGATGAATTCTGATGAAAAAAGTGTCTTGCTGGAGTTTATGTGAACCTTGCCGTTATCTTAGCAAGCAAATTCAGTTGTATCTCATTCTGTAAAGATGAGGACCTTGACAGTAACCACTAGGAGTGTCATCTGCCTAACACTAAGAGCAAGTTGTTCGTTTAGGCTTCTAGCAAATTTTCTATTTTTATTTTTCGAATCTTCATATTATTTATTAGCTTCAGATATATAAAACTGCTACACAGATTGCTCTACTTGCACCACAAAAATATAAAATGCAATAGTTTAGATATTCAAATTCAACCAGTTGCATTAGAAGCAGAGTGTTTTGCAACAAAGAAAGCTACATTATAAATTACATGTAATGCCCTAAGATTTATGGGATAAAACACATTAGGCACTTTGTCCAGGAAGGGCAAATTCTTTAAGGTTAATTAGGAAATGTTCTATCAAGGAAGATGTTTTCCTTCTTTGATATCAGATTGTTATATATTAATACAGTAAAACTCCGATGGTCCGGCCTCTGATGGTCCGGCACTCCTGATGGTCCGGCACCATCAGGAACTCAGAAGTGCTCTGGGCAGCCAGACCATTGGAGCTGCTCTGCCCCCAGTTTCCCGGATTCAGCCGCTGCTAAAACTGACCAGCGGCTGAATCGAGGAAGCTGGGGGCAGAGCAGCTGGGGTGCTGCCGGGTAGGTCCCTAGCGCTGCCCCTCGGCACTGCAGGACCAACCCGGCAGCACCCCAGCTGTCCCCGAGTCAGCCGCTGCTGAAACTGTTCAGCGGCTGACTCCAGGAAGACCAAGGCAGAGCTGCTCTGCCCCGGCTTCCTGGAATCAGCCCCATATCAGTATCAATCGGAAGGGGGGGCTATGAAGGGTCTGGGGCCAGACCCCTCATAGCCCCCCCTTCTGATAGTCAAGCATATCTGATAATCCGGCACCCCCTGGGTCCTAAAGGTGCTGGATTATCAGAAGTTTACTGTACTTCTGAGTCCATCAGTCAGGAATCTATGCCAATAAGATCAAGAGGAAGGCACAAGAGACTATATTAAAATGTATATAGTTAACATCTGCATATTTAAATACAGCTCCCAATTGTATTTGAGCGTTTAATGGCATGTTGTACCTTTAGTGATGTATCTGCATTCTCAGTAGATCCAGCAACTAGCCATTGCTTGTCCGGTGAACAAAGTAATAAATCAATGCTAGAGTTTTGAAATGCTGTAATATGTGAAACCTGATTTAGGTTAGGAACTTCTAATATATAGATAGCACCTCCTGCGGTGGCTGCCTAAAATAAAGAAAAGATGCATAAGATAGAAGCACAGCTACAGCATCCCAACTTCTATAAAAAATATGACTCTGAAGGCTTAGTGCTGATGACATCAACCAGCATCTGTCTCATCTGAATTGAAGCTAAGAGTTGAATTTTACCAAGCACCAGCCCTGAAGGCTAAAGTGCATCTCACATCAAGATGTTCATAGCACAGAGTCTCCTATGTAATCCATTCAAAAGAAAAGGAAAATTTGTATTAACTGAGGGGTTTTTTTAAGTCCATTTTGGGGATCAGCACAGCTGCTCTCCTGTTGCTGTTACAGCAGTTGGCATACAAAATTAACATGATGACCCTGTGGAGGAAGAACCACCTCACTATATGTAGTGTGAGGCGCAGAAGCAAAAGGATGTGGAGAGAATTTCCTCATGATTCAACATCTAAGATTCCAGTCTCTGAAGTGGGAATTTAATTCTCCACTAGCTAAGTGCTTAGCAGTAGCTCAGTGCCACTATGCTGTAATTTTGAATACTATAACGAACATTCCGTCCTCTTAGCCGTGTTCTCTGCAGTGATGAGGAATACTGGAATCCACAGTATTCATTCCCTCAACTAGCAGCACTAATACCACAGAGAACTGAAACAGAGACTTCCCAAACAAGCCCCATTAAGACTGGATAAAGCCTTCTTGTATTCCTATCTATTGTCCTTCTCTTGCATTCTTCCACAACACACATGCTTTTACTTGTTCCATTGTAATAGCAAGGCAAAAGATGTTCATTACAAACATCTGTATAACACTTAGTATGTGGCAATTTCCTATGTTCTAGATACTTTATTCCAAAAATATGTAGACAAACTCAAGAGAGCCCAAAAACGGAGCTGGAGGAAAGATCAAAATAACTAAATAAAATGCGGGGAGAAACCTGAAAGGAGTACAATAGTCTCCAAAGTGTATAAATGCAAGGAAGCATGATTGTGCTATATGCAACAAAAGAAGAATTAAGTTAATAAAATAAATGGGCTTTGAGAATGAAAGCCCTTGGAAGAGGCACATCTATACAGTAGAGTGGTGAAAGTTCTATCCTGGCAGACTTTTGAAATGAGACTGGATAAAACCCTAGATCATCCAGCGCAGAATAATTAATTCTTTACAGGCTGCTGTTCCAGGATGAAATCCTGGCCTCACTGAAGTTAACAAGTTTTGCCATTGCCTCCCTTCAACCAGATGTCATCTGAAGTCTCTTTCAATAAACATGTACCTATCTCCCAGTACTTAAAATGCACTCCAGAAGTATATTCCTCATTATATTAAGTAAGCACATATCTGAGGGTAGGCTGAGCTCTCATTACTTAAGCCACCTTGGTGTACTTACAGCTAGGAAGAGCTGCTTGTTCACTGAGAAGGTGACCAAACTGCAGGAGGATGACGATGTGGAGAAAGCAGCAAGTTCTTCCCCAGTTTCTCCATCCCAGACTTTGATGGTTCCATGGGCGTCTGTGCTGATTGCCAATTTGTACTGTGGGACAGTAATAACTTTGACAAATGGCACTTCCTGGGTGGGACTTGACCATATCTGTATACCCTGAACAAAAATTTGTAGTTAGAGGTCAGCTTATGGGCATCTGCAATGGATTTAAATCGCTATCAATGCATCCTTTCCCCCTTATTGCTTGTTTTTGAAAATATTACATATTTCAATAACATTTTGCTTGGTATTTTCCAGTGTTTGTGTTGAAATAGTTTTCCTTTGACAAGATAGCCATTAGTTTCTCCTTGCTGGAACTCTCTTCTCTCTCTGGATTCTAATAATGACTCAGCTTACTCCATTGAATTGAAAAAATCCTGAAATGCAGCCAAGAAACTCTTTCCAAAGATGACATCATTTTAAATAATCTGATGTTTCCTTTGCACCATAAATCAAACTTGTTCTATCCACACCCAATGACTTTGCAGACCACAGGACTGGAAAATTCCATTCCGTCACCCCTTCTTGGTAGCAAGAATCTGAAATAGTTTTTAAATCTTCTCTCCTATTCTCTTTCATTATCTCTGCATTCTTCAGGGCACCATCACAAAGTGATTTGCATTGATAATTAAAGCATATTTTAAGAGCCATCTGTAGTACAGTCAGACTAAGCAGCATTTGCTACCTTGCTATGCAAATTCATCTCAGTCTGGACCTACAATACCAACACTTTTGTTACTCACGTCCTGAGCAAGGACTGCCAATAGCATTTCACTCTGCCAAAGGGGATAGTGGTTTCTGAAGTGATCTCAGGAATTAAACTCAGACCAAACACACTGTCATAATTCATCTATCGTAAGTTTTCATTCTAGTTTCTCAGTTTGCTCTTGGCATCATTCTGTTCAGCTCAGTTGATGAAGGGGAGTTGCACCTGCTTGCTTCCATGAGTCAAATTCTATCCTGTTGTCGAAAACGGGTGTGCATGTTAGAGGACTGATGTTATGGGTCACTGTCAATTGATTTATCATTTCATAGACATGTAATACTTAGGTGTGTAAAAATGCATGCCAAAGGTGTAGGGACGTGTGTGTGTGTATGTCTGTACAGGTTGAACCTCTCTAATGTGGCACCCTTGGGATCTGACCGGTTCCAAACCAGAGAATTTTCTGGACCATGGGAGATCAATGTTATCTAGCAGCATTACCAACACTTCCACTGCTTACTGGGCTCTTAGAAGACATTTAGGGATAAATTAGAGCTAAATAACAGCACAGAACACTCAGAACCAGGACTGGTGGCTATAAACAAACTGCATAGGACCATGGGAAACTTGGCCACATCCATGAAAAGTGGACATCCAGCTAACTAAAATAATTCCAGATCATGGATGTTTCCAGACTAGAGAGGTTCAACCTGTACTACCAAGTTACTTAACCTGTACTACTTAAGTTAGCACTAGTTAACTTAAAAATCTGTCGTATTATTGCACTCATTTCCCCAAACATGTTTACAATGGCCCAGCTCTCAACTGATCTTGAATGCATTACGTTTAGCCAATTAAATGACACTGGCTCCATTCAAGCTTTATTTTCTAACTGTACGTGATACTATGCAGGCCTTGAATTTTTTAATATTAAATGCAATACTAATTTAAAATGTAACAAGTCTAGCTTCTCTAAAAGTAACAGTCCCCAATAGCTGTTTCAAGGGCGCCAGCCTAAAGCCCAATATTCAGTGATTTATCTTTAAAAACGTAGAAAACAATGAATATGATACTTTAATCATTGCAAGATTTCACTTTAACCTTTGGGCAAGACTATCATGTTGAACAGTGTGTAACCTCCCCCGCACTACCCAGAAAAAAACCCAAATTGTTTACACTCTTAGAAATGCTTATCTAATTCAAATTAATTGACCACATGAAGGCAGTGGAGCTTTGATGCATGAAAAACCTTCTTTGTAATAGGACAGAATACTAGAGATATGACTTGGTTGCACACTCTGCTCCTCTCAAATGTGATGAGAGAAGCCAGGGAAGAAGAAAAGTCTGATTTCATAATATACCGTGTTTTTTGTGCTGTGATTTGAATTAAATATTGAACATTAGTGACCATAAGCCTGAATCTCTAGTCAGAAAGAGAGTTAAAGACCTGAAGGAATCACTAGCTTGTTATCTAAATCTGTGCTGCAGGCACAGGAGGGCCGAAGCTGCAGCAGTGCCTATGCTCCCCATCCCCAATGGCAGGGAAATGATGATGTGATATGTACCCCAATAATCCTGGCCTGTGATTCACATGCTGCAGAGGAAGGCAAAAAAAAAAAAAAAAAACCTAACCCCATGACTTCTGCCAGTCTGACCAGATGGGAAAATTCCTTTCAAACCCCACCTATAATCCCACATGGTGATCATTTAGACAAGTGGTCTCCAACCTTTTTTACACCCAAGATCACTTTTTAAATGACAGACCAAGCCAAGTTCTACCACCCCGCACCTTCTTTGAAGCCCCGCCAACTCTCTGCTCCACCTCTTCATCACTTGCTATCCCCAATCCTTATACTGCTACTTTAAAAAAAAATTCCCACCGTTCCTCACAGCTACTCACCTGTGCTGTTGCTCGGTGAGTAGCTGCTCCTCAAATGAGGAAATCTAATGTAAATGTACTGCGCAGTTCAGAGAGGGCTCAAGAGCTACTCTTAGAGCCTCCGAGATCTACCGGTAGATTGCGATCTACAGGTTGGTGACCACGGATTTAGACCATGAACAAGAACCAGCCAGCCAAGCACTTGAGAAAGAGAGTATGTTTGTGTTGCACCAGCTCTGGTCCATCTTCACTTTTTTCTTCACTCAGCACATAGCCAACCTGTGGAACTCCTTGCCAGAGGATGTGGTGAAGGCTAGAACTTTAGCAGGGTTCAAAAAAGAGCTAGAAAAATTCATGGAGGTTAGATCCATTAATGGCTATTAGCCAGGATAGGTAAAAATGGTATCCCTACCCTCTGTTTCTCTGGAGGTGGGTGACAGGAGGGATCACATTAGGATTACCTATTGTGATCTCTCCCTCTGGGGCATCTGGTATAGGCCACTGTTGGCAGACAGGATACTGGGCTAGATGGACCTTTGGTCTGACCCAGCATGGCTGTTCTTATGTTCTTCTACCCTCAATGTTCCATCTCCACCTGTGGCCATCTCTGATGCTTCCAAATAAGAAAGAAAAAAGCCTTCCAGCTGGTGGTTAGCTGAAATCCTGAGAGTCATGAGTTTTAGGAACGTAAGTCAAAGCCAATCTTCTTTCCCACAATTCCTATTGGAAAGCTGTTCTCAATTTCAGCCTGAATTTGTTCATGGATGGTTTACATTCATTTGTTCATGTGCCAATACTGTCCTTTAAATAGCTCTTTGTCTTCCCTAATATTTACTTATTTCCCCATGTATTTATAGATAGCAATCATTTCCCTGCTCAGATTTTTTCTAGCCTAAATAAGCCTAGCTTTTCCAGTCTCCCGTCATAAAATACACCCTCCCTTCTCTGATCATTCTAATAACTCTTCTCTGCACCTGTTTCAATTTGAATTAATCTTTTGGGTGACCAGAATTGTATACAGTATTCCAAGTAAGATATTACTAATATCTTGTACAATGGCATTATTTCTCTGTCTCTACTGGAAATGCCTCTCCTAATACATACTATGATCACATTTGCCTTTTTCACAATGGCATTAAATTGAAGACTCGGTCATCCTGTGACTGATCCATACACTCAAGTCTCTCTCCTCTGTCATTTCCAACTGATGAACCCCTAGCTTGTAACAAATTCTTATTAGCCCCTAGAAGCATGCCCTTTCACTCTGTACTATTGAATTTAATCTCAGGGTCATCCAGATTTTTCTGTGTAATGTTCCGATCCTCCTCTGTGTATTGATGATGCCTCCAAACTTATCATCAGCAAATTTCTTTAGCACACTCCAATTTTTTGTGCCAAACTCATTAATTAAAAAAATTAAGTAAGATTGGTTCCAAGACTGCGCCTTGGAGAACTCCACCAGTAACCTCCCTCCAATTTTCAGCACAACTTGTAGCCTTTTCCATTTAGCCAATTCCTTGTTTATTTTACAATGCTCATACTGATCCCTATCCCAGTTTACCAACAAACATATAGTATAGTGTCAAATCCTTTACTGAAGTTCAAGTATACTAGATCTACCACACTTCCCATATCTAAAAAATCCCAGTTATTTTCCCAGAGGAGGAAATCAGGTCAGCATGACACGATCTACCTTTGGCAAACCCATGCCACACTGCACCATTTCCTTTACCATTTACCTCTATGTTTTCACAATTTGTTCTACAATTTTAAACAGTACTGAGACCAGACTAACAAGATCTGTCATTTGCCACTACCTCCTTTATTAAATACAGCTATGACTGTTTTTTGTATTAATCCCCAAATAGTTGGATTTATTAAAAACCTTTGCCACTGGATTAGCAATCTCATGTACCAGTTCTTTCAGTGGTCTGCAGTGGAAGTTCTGTTCCCCTGATTAGAGTGCATTAAGCTCTTAAAGTTTTTCTTCCACCTCAGAGGTGGTAATTTCCATTTCTAGAAACACATGTCCATCAGCCAGATCACCTTCATGTATATATGCCACACTATCATTGCAACCAAAAACTGAGGTATTCATTTAGCTCAGGTGATTTTTGAGCAGAATACTTCCAGTCCCTTGAGATGGAGGGTCAAGACAAAATAATGAAGATGAAAAGACGGCTCAAGGGTTGATGCTATAGGAAGGTTTGGGATGATTGACCTTTGGGAGGCAGTTACAGAAAGAAGTTTCTTCTCAACTGATAGACTCCACGTGAGTAGTTGGGGTATTAATCTATTGTGATCAACACTGGTACTATTGCTAAAAAGGGCTTTAAACTAGGAGATGGGGTTGAGAGAGACTCTTGAAGTCTCCAGTATATTGAAGCCAGACATGGAGCAGGAAAATCAGCTAAAGGAAGATACAGTAAGGTATAAGGGAACATCACAAGCTAGAAAACCAGGTAAGGTCTGAGGGAAATAACTGAAATGCATGTTCACAAATGCAAGGGGTTTGGTCAATAGAATGGAGGATCTGGTGCTATTGGTGCTATTACAGGGAATATAGAAACATGGTAGAATAGAACTCAAGACTGGAATACAGGAAGTGAAGGTTGCATGCTGTTTAAGAGAGAAATGGGTAAAAGGGTGGAGTAGCATTGTACATCAACAAAGCAGTAAACTTAAAGAAGTGATAGTATGGACAAAATCTGTTTGGGTTAAAATCATTTTGGGGAAGGGTTGTGAAAGAGGTTCTGCTGGGATAGTATTAGGAGTATGCTATAGACCCCCAGAATCAGATTCTGTTGTGGACAGTAATCACCACCATATTATTAGATAGCAATACTTTTGGGAATTGTGGGAAACTTTAAATTTCCTGGATATAAATTGTAAAATAAATGCTGTTACTACTGTTGGGCCCAGTTATTCCTGGATGTAATAGATGACAGTTTTCTTTATCAAATTGTCACTGAACCAACAAGAGATGATGCAGTTTTGGACTTACTTTCAGTAAGTAGAGACATCACAGGAGAATATGTCATAGGAAATACCCTTAGATTGAGTGATCGTGAATTCATTCAGTTTAAATTAAACAAGGGATAATCCAAACCACAATGTTAGCTCTGTATTTTTTATTTCCAAAGGGCAGACTTTGGGACTATAAGGGAATTAAACCAGTTGTAGTAAAGAGTTCAAGGACTTAAATCCAATCCTTTTCCATATTTAACTATACAAACACTATTTGAAATTAAAAAAAACAAACTTGTAGGCTGTGTCAAGACTGGCAAGTTCTTCCGCAAAATCATCTGCTTTTGCGGAAAAACTTGCCAGCTGTCTACAATGGCCGCTTGAATTTCCGCAAAACCACTGACGAGCTCATGTAAGATTGCCAGTGCTTTTGTGGAAATACTATGCTGCTCCCGTTCGGGCAAAAGTCTTTTTCCAAAAAACTTTTGTGCAAAAGGACCAGTGTAGACAGCAGAGATTTGTTTTCCGCAAAAAGTCCTGATCGCGAAAATGGTGATCGGGGCTTTTTTGTGGAAAATTGCGTCTAGATTGGCCACGGACGCTTTTCCGCAAAAAGTGCTTTTGCAGAAAAGCATCCTGCCAATCTAGACGTGCTTTTCCGAAAATGCTTTTAACGGAAAACTTTTCCGTTAAAAGCATTTTCGGAAAATCATGCCAGTGTCACATAAATAAATATCAACCTCAAAAAGTTTGATATGAAGAAGCAGAGAGATTGCATGGAATGGAAAAAAGGGCTGGCCAGCAAACAACGCTGCATTGTAGCAGTTAGAAAAGTGGAGGAATAAAGTGAGACTTGCTAAAAGTCAAGCTGAATAAACTCTTGCCAAGGAAACTAAATTCATGTGAGTAATATGAGCAAAAAGTAATGATTTTTTTTTCCACTATGTAAATCATAAGGAACAATGAAGTTGGATCTCTTGGGAAAGAGATTAAAGATCTAGGTCTGGTCCAAAAACTGAAGCTAATGAGTTTTCTATACATAAAAAAAGCAACAATTGCCCCCCGCAGAATTTTAGACAGATGACACTAGGAACAAAATCTGGGTTATCCACGTTCCCCCTTCCTTATTTACATACTAGCAATCTTATGGCATCTATATAGATATGGAACAGTTCACTCAGTTTGAATTGAAAAGCATGGATAATATTTGACCTGCATTTTAAATATTATCTTCTGAAGATTACGAGTGGTTGTGTAACATATTGTGTAAGAGGTGTAGGTGACATAATTGTTTTTAAAATAACAGTACAACTATTCTTGATGGGACACTGGACTTGTAAAGAGTGTGCATCTCACCTCTTGGACTTGCCATGCTCGGATAGTGCCATCAGTGGATGCAGTGCATACCACAGACCTCAGCTTTCCAGCACCAAACACGTGCTCATTGTTGGAGAGATAAGCCATAGCAACTATTTTACCTACAATAATAAAATACAGCAAAATATGGGTATGACCATCCTGTGATTTCATGCCCCCCAAGAGCACTAAGGCCTCTATTCGGCAAAGAATTACATATGAGATGAATTGCAGTAAGCAAAAATGGAGATACAAATCCAGGGAGATCTGATTGCTTCCTAGCATATAATCATACTGCACTTTCAAACATGAGCTAGCAGTTTTTTCTTAATATTCAGAGCAACATAGATATAAAGTTCCATTTGTTGTGAGTGTGATGACTCACGCTAATGTAGCACATGCTGTTATCCAAAACGTTTAGTACATTTTTTTTAAAAAATGAGAGAAAATAAATCACATAAATTATCCCCTGTGCAGACAAGAGGTGATTAAACATCATTTCAGCAAATAACTCATATAGTGATAAAAACTGCCTTAGTTAAATCTGTTAACCCTTTGCTTTGACAATCTTACTGTTTGAATGAAAATATGATGGATTCCAAAACTTGCACATCTAGAGTTTAACAATATGATGTATGAACATAGCAAGACATTAAAGGGTAAATCATACTAACTCAAGCTATGAAGGCAAATTGAAAGGCATATAAAAAATTAGATTCTATTTTTATTTGTGTGTGGAATCCAGAATATTGTCTTAAATTCTTATGTGGGGACACTATTTAATTTGGACTTCAGTGAAGGTGCCATGCAATTCATAGGCTATAGAGTTCTGATTTTTAAAGGTATATGGGTGTCTAAAGATAGATGCCTAGCTCCCTTTAAAAATGTGGCCCTAATTATAAGCGAAGAGAGAATTTATTTAACCAGCATGGAATAACCAATGTAATTATTTGGTTTTATGTCACCATCTTTGAAGAGAACAACATTTTCTTCAAAACATTATGGGATGAAGCTCGTAATTTAAGAATGTTAAGGGCCCTGTTATTTTCTGGAGAATGTGTCCATGCTATCATACCATAAGCTTAGTCTTCCAAGGCACTTCACCGAATCTGAACATTTTTCTCATGGTTTTCTACCTACAAAGATTCCTGATTTTGGATTTGTGAGATTTGCATGTAAAAAAAAAGCACATGTTCAAATTGAGAACAACAGTTTTGAAGGCTGCTGAAGTCTCTTATCGCTAGTGTACAAAGCATTTGTCCACCTAGATCCCATGAGGGGTTAGATCCAGTTTGTTATACATTATTTTTACTGTATTCTCACATACCTTTATGTCCCCTCATGGCCAGACATGTGTAATCAGCTGATGGCCGGCCTGATGCCATATGATGCTCAAGTTTGGAGCGATGGAGATAGTACTCTTTCCATGTCTGCATCCCTGGCGTCAGGTTGGAAATATTGCAAAAAGTCCAATGACCTAGGCACAGCCTTCTATAAAACATAAAGGTGACACTATTTTTGTTAGAAGTGGGGATGGTCATTCTGCAACTCCTTAACTATTCACATTTGGTGGATGCCTCTAGCTAGGTACAGCCAAATATTTGTCTTGGATAAAAGTAAGATTGTTCTACATTTGGAGAATTTAAGATGCGGCACTGGAGAAAGTGAATTCCTCCTCAATCACAAAAGACCCTTCAGGAAATAAGGGCACCCCCTCATGGATTGGGAGTAAAAATATCAACTTGTATAGGTCCACCATTTTGCTCACTGCAACATTCTGAAAATGGTTTTTTTTTGTAAAGCCCAGTTGCATATAGTGCATTGGAGAATGCGTTCTAGAGCTGTCTCAGTGAAACTGCAGTGTGGACAGTCAGTGAGAAACCTAGCAATCCCCAGAGTGGATGTGATTCAGTAGCCCTTGAGTCAATGTGTGTTTTTTCACTGACTTTATTAGGTAGAAGATCAGGCCCAGCAAACACAATGTCTAGCGCCCATAAAGGCATCTGTGGAAAAATGTAACAAAAATGGGGTTTTTTTCTAAGATCTCGCCAGCCTCTACAAGAAAGTGTAGAGGCTGGCGATACCTTTGGAGAATTTAACTGAAAACAAGTTTATGAGCTCAAAATATGATCACCTAAAATGACAATGTCTCTGTAATAGTAAACACACACATCAGTCCTAATCTGATGTAGCAAACTCTCCCAGAACCTGGACTGATCTGTTCATTCCTAATGCCAGAGTTAATTATTTAAACATTAAATGTGCTAATGAAAGGTGCCAGCCTGCAGAACAAAAGTCTGTATTTGTCTACTGAATAGATACAGCCCACTTGGTGGCAGCAGAAGCTTCCCCATTAGAGAAACCAGTGATATGTCTATTTTTCCACAATCGATCCACCGGGGGTATATTTAATGGGACTAGTGAAGACCCACTAAATCGACCACAGATCACTCTCCTGTTGGTACGCCATTGGAATAAGAGGCATAAGATAAGTCGATGGGAGAATTTTTCCAATCTACTCAGTGCAGTGTAAACACCACAATAAATTAACTTAAGCAATGTCAACTCCAGCTACATTATTCATGTAGTTGGAGTTGCATAACTGACCTAGCCTTGAAATGTAATAATATAAGAGATAATACCAATATTCGGGGCTTTTACTTATATAGGTGCCCATTATTCCCCATTCATCCCAATTTTTCACACTTACTATTTGGTCATCCTATTCTGTACCCTGCCCCATCAATGTATTTCACATAAAAGGAAAAAAAATCTATAAGTGAAACAGCAGTGAGATGAGGCCATAGCCATGCTTACAAGGATACCAATTAAATTATTTTTTAACTGTGTTGTTGCTGGGGTAATGGATGGGTCTGCCTTATTCATTACTGTATTTTTAAAAGATTATCCAGGGTGCCCAGAGCTCTGGAGGGCTTCTCTTACTAGAGAGTGGCAAGAATCTAAGATATTAAAAAAGGTGGTATTTGTGTGACGTGGCTATAGTTTCGTATCAGCCAAAGGGACTGGATTCAAAACACTATGTTGGGTGAAAAAGAGAGTGAGTACACACACATACATAGGCCTTACAAGCAACCCTGGGACCTTTTGTCCACCATATTGTATGCACTTCAATTTTATGCAGTTAAAATTCCTGGATCAAAATTATTTCCAGGTTTCTCATTCTGAGTATACTCCAAGAGAGGCTGGGTTCTCAGAGTCCCCATCACAGTCAGTGGGGGGCGAGGGCACCCAAGTTCAGGACCTCGCAGGACTGGTCTGTTTGAACTGGGTAGCCATGAAGTCCCACCACCCCTTTGAGAAAGTTGATGGGAACCAAGAGCTACTATAAAGGGCAAAGCAAAAGTACCAGGCAGGTGGCTATAAAAAAATGCCAACGAGGGACACAGCGCAGAGAACCCCAGACAGTTCCCCCAAAGATCACCTTGCAGCTTCTCCACTCTTCTACACACAGGACTCTTTGAGACACTGAAAGGGGCACTCACCTCCATAGTGAAGTTGTATCTGCAGCTTCATTCCATGCCTAATACAATGGGAAGAGAGAAAGAAAAGATGTGTTAGAACAAAGGAAGCTGCGTTTCATGCTGTTCAGCATTACTGTCACTGACAGAAGAAAGAAGATAATATTAGTCATTGGAGGGGAAAGGGACCAGGAAATCTTTCTAGGTCTGCCCTGCAATCCCCATTACTTTTAACTGCCACTCTTAAGTTTACATTTTGTTTGAAATAGGGATGTAAAAATCCTGTTCAGTTAACAAATTAAACATCAGGTTAGCCATTTCAATGTTATGTTTGACCAGCTGACTGATCAAATGAGAGTGGGCGGGGGGCTGCTCCAGCTTCAGCTCGTTATCCATAACCGATAAGCACCACCCAGTAAGGGTGATGCTTACCAGTTAACCATTCACATGCCTAGTTTGAATATTTAGCACAAGATAGTAAGGGGGAATTTCCAAATCGATTGTTTTCAGTTTTGCGTTGATTTTTATAGGAATTCTGTGGTTATAGGAAGTGTGCTAGATAACTATTCAAAATTGTGTTTTACTCTTTGATGCTTCTTTCAGTGTTTATATACGCATGCTTTATCTGTATTTGTATTTATCTCTCCATACCAAAAGCTATAACTATTTAAAGACAGCCAGCCTGTACCATCTAGGTACTTTGGTGCTGAGTCCAGACGCACAGTAAAAGCGATCTAAAACAGAAAAACAGGTTAATATTGTAACATTAAAATAGGTTACTGCCACCTGCAGATGAAGAGAACAGACTGAGGAGCTATGACACAAGAATAAAAACAGAGGAACAAAGGGTATAAATTAGGATGTGGAAGGTTAACCAGTGTCATCTTTAATGGGTGATGCTTACTGGTTCTGGTTAACCAGTTGGGATTGGAGCAGCTCCTAGCCTACCACCTTGAGCCTGGCCATGGCCTGCAGCACCGCCCTCCCTCCCCCACCAACCACCTTTAATTAGTTAACCAGTTAAATATCACGTTTAAGCAGTTAACCAATTAAACAGGATTTTACATCCCTTGTATAAATATGGGACCAACAGTGACCATAATAAACACACGCCACTGGGGAAAAAAATCAAACAACCAAACCTCCCACCCTTCTGCATTTTTTTAAATAGTATGCCACATGCTGGGGCCTACCAAAGCAAAGTTTTGATCTTTTTCCAACCTAAAACATGGCAACAGAATTGTTAAAGGATGAGTGACATCTCAACATAGGTATCTGTTGGGTTCCTCTAAGAGACCTCAAATATATAAAGGAAAGAGCCAATGCAATACATCAGATGTACAGCATAGGCAGAATGGGTCAAATGCAGTCTTGGCTACTCATATCAGCAAGCACCATTCCTGGGAAAGTTCTGCACATGTGCAGAATGTATGTTCCCCTCAGATTTCTTTGCTTACCTGCCAAAAAATGACTCTCTGATGGTGAAGCAAAGGGAAACCACAAGAGCAGTCACGAGACCCTCCCCAGAAATATTTTTTGGGTGCCTAGGTCAGACGGAAGAGAGGTAGCGGCGGGGGGGG